CAAAAACTATTAATTACAAAACAAGCACTTTAGTTTCAGATGAAAATCACTTGATTGTTTACTAAAACTGGTATGTGTAAAAATCTGCCTTGCTTTTTCGCCTTGCCAGTATAGGCAAGCGAGCTAGTGGTATGCCAATTACTAGCAAATGTGTTGTGTGCTTGTCAGTTACTGGCCTATGCCAGCAACTGGCATGCCAGCTACTTTCATAATTTACTGGCATGTGTGTACCCGGCTTTATGCACGCGTTTTTCGTCACTTATCGCGTGGCGACACAAAACGCGACGTTCTCTAAAACAATTGTGTATCCTTTTATGCATCAACGTCCGTGTATTTGCGATGCCTGTGTCGTGGCGTTCTCAAATTCTATCGCCCGGAATTAGAGAACGCTTCACGACAGGCATTCTGTACGTACGTTAAATTGAATTTGTGCGTTTATGCAACGCGTTTATTGTTGCTCATACTTCGATATGAAATTATTTTGCTAGCTTCCAGACGTGTATCGATGTGTGAAGACCTATGTTGTTGCCATAAAACACTTCTATTGTGAACTATTTATCGAGGACATTTAAAAATTACAAAAACCATTGTCTTAATTCTTCATGTAGTGTATATGCCCCTGAAGATTCTTGCATTATTTATTGAGTGAACAATTATATATTTGAATCCCAAGTATATAATACACGGATCCATTTTTTATCGATACACACTTCCTTAATGCCCGGTACAGTAGTCACTGATCTATTTAGCAAATTTTATGTGAAAGTGACACTCGACATTGAAACCAAAACCAACGAAAAACACGTATTTATTAATGGTACTTATAATTTAATTTTTATTTAAGTATTGATCTAAAACTTTCCTAATCTGTTATTTTTTGTTAGTATTGGATTATACTCCTTATTAATGAGCATGCCACTCACATGGGTGAATTATTTTTTAATTGCTGATAATGCGGAGGATCTGCAAACATTCATAGACCGTGTAGTAGACAAACTGTGACAGATACGGCATGAAATTAAACTGTAACAAGACCAAAATTTCTTGTAGTGCTTAAGTAAAAACGACGAAATACAGCACCAATTCACTGCTAATAATGAACCCTTGAAAATAGTCGACAAAATTACATATCTTGGATGCCGCCTAAATAAGGAATGGGACCACTCACAGGAAATAAGATGTCGTATAGAAAAGACTAGAGCTGTCTTCAATTGATATAAGCTGAACATTGATATAAGAACACGAGTCTTGAGATGTTATGTATTTTTTACCCTTTTATATGGAGTCGAAGCCTGGAACTTGACGGATGCAACATCCAAACGATTAGAAGCCTTCGAAATGTGGTGCTACCGTGATCCAACGTATGAATAAAGATCTGGAAATTATGCGCATCGTGGAAATCAGAAACATGACATACTTAGGGCATGTGATGCGCAATGAGAAGTATCAACTAATATAACTAATTTTACAATTCAAAATAGACGGCAAAAGATCTCTAGGGCGCAGAAGAACATCATGGTTGAAGAACATCAGACAGTGGGCAGGAATAACTACTATACATCTATCAGCTGTCAACAAAATTGTATGAACCAACGTGATTGCCAACATTCACAGAGGACAGGCACCAAAAGAAGAAGAAGTGAATGATTTGAATTCAAATCCCAACCATCATTAATATTTACATAATTGGCTGCCAGCAACTATCTCCGTTTTTTTAGTTGTTATCAATCGTGATCCCCATTGGATGTGCTTTGCATTAAAGTCACATTCAATGATATTTCGTTTTCCCAAAATTTTCAACTTTTTATATATTCTTCATACTGTTGTTTTTAAATGGAATGCTTGGGGCTATAAATTGGGCTAACATTAATTTCCCAATTGCATTATCTTTTATTATTATTGTGTAGCCATATACTTATATTATGTCCATAATTCCATAATAGATTTCATTAGAAGCACAGAGTTTGGAAAAATATTCTGGTTAAGAAACTTGCGTGTCAAGGATACCTATGTATAAAGAACACATTTACACTTCCGATGAAGTTCAAATCATGTTTTTGGTGTCTCCAACGCTCGAAGAGTCGATCTTGTTGTTTCTGGATATTGGCGACCATCATTATAATTTTGACTTAGTTTACAGCTATTTGAAATAGTCCTGGCGGTCGTCATATTAAACTAAGTTATGGTTATGGAGTTATGCTTATGGATCCAGGAAATACATCATCTTCACTGACTTCTCAAATACTTTTCATTAAGTAACCAAAGGAAGTAAACCATATCTTTCACTATTTCTCATAATATGCCCTAATAATATAATAATACCCCAATGATGACAAATACTTCATATTCTTTTTCTATTCAGCAGAGAATTCGTTACTTAATCAATCCATGAGATACTTAGTGTTCGTCTGTAGCACTACATCTCAGAAACCTTCGCTTGTTCATAGATGCCTACGGTAGATTTCAAGCTTTTGCTCCGTTGCTTCTTATAGCAAAACTTGAATTAGGTAACATTTAGGTAGCCAATATTTTATTGCTAGTCGGTGGTCTCAACTTTTAAAATCGAATTCATTTTAATGAATGTTGATCTGGCCTTTGCTATTTGTTGTTTTATGTTTACAAAACCGTTCCATGAGCTGTCGGTAACCTGAATTGACCTCTTGTGGGAGGGAAGGCTGGTTACACGCTCTTTCCATCGCTGTTAATGACCGGAATATGGATCTCGGTCAGTGGCCATAGATATTGTCTATGGACACTTAGCTACGAATAATGCCTAATTAAAACACACAGATAGTTGTTTATTGCATGAAATAACAACAATAATCAAAGTACTTAATACTAAGAATCTGCAAAAGAATGATAATTATCTCCAGATCGATAATCTGGAAGATAATTATGTAAATTAGGCTTAATCTAAGAATCTGTAAGAGAATTCGATTAATTAAAATGCCTAAAGTCAATTTGAGAACAAATAAAAATTTCAATTTTTTTATGAAAAATTTTATAAGTTCGAAAGTTAGGAATATGAAGGAATCGTGATAGGAGTCCCAAAATATGTTGGGAACGTCAGGTACAGTGACTCTCGGACGAATCAATCAACACGTGTATCAAAATTGCATAAACAAAATAGTTATAAACAATTTCCGAAAAATTTATATCAAAATTTTTCGTCAAAATCAAAAGTCGCTGAGACCTGAAAAAGTGAAAAAAAATCACAAGTTATTTTTATACCAAAAATTCGTCTTAAGTTATTTTTGGAGCTGAATTTCTTCAGAGTCCAAAGATGCAAAATAAAAGAAATATCGAGAAATATTACAAGTCCCTAAATAAAGTAAAAGGGCGAAAAAAAGTTAGTTTTCCTGAAAAATATTTCAAAGTCAAAAACCAATAACTACAGAAAAACAACAACACCAGTAAAATTTCACAAGTTTTATTTCTTTCTTTTATTAAAAGGATATATGCACGTTCAAACGGCTAAATCTCGTTAGGAACTTAGCGAACCTAGAAGAGAAGATTTCTTACATGACGTCTAAGTCCCTAAAAGAAAATATAAAATTATTAAAAATTCGTCTAACAGTAGCGACGAATTAAATTTTTGCGAAAATATCAGAATTTCGACCAACTCAAAAAGCACAGATAAATCCAACAAAAATGGCGGCGGTTTCGTACAAACCGACAAAGTTTCGCTCTGAAACTTTGTCAAAAATTCCTGTAAGAGAAATAGGGTACTAGGTAAATCAAAGGTTTGAGTCTCTAGGAACTGAATCAACCAGAGGGTCTCGACTTGCCAAGAAGGCTGAATCAGCGGACATATCCTGACCTGATCTGCCATCTTGGCCATCGTGCACCGCTTTTATCCACTAAAAGGTGGGTCAACGGTTCCAACGGTCTTTCTGGCTGTTAAGCCATTGGACCTGCACGATAGCCAATGCTTATTTCCGGATATTACCATTGGCTGCAATTAAGTTGCCATTTGACCAATGGTAAATTCGAAATTAAGCAGCAAACTTTGGAATTAGTTTTTTAGAATTTTTGAGAAAGTTTCGCTCTGAAACTTTGTCAAAAATTACTGTAAGAGAAATAGGGTACTAGGTAAATCAAAGGTTTGAGTCTCTAGGAACTAAATTAACCAGAGGGTCTCGACTTACCAAGAAGGCTGGATCAGCGAACATATCCTGACCTAATCTGCCATGTTGGCCATCGTGCACCGCTTTTATCCATTAAAAAGTGGGTCAACGGTTCCAACGGTCTTTCTGGATGTTGAGCCATTGGACCTGCACGATAGCCAATGCTTAATTCCGGATATTACCATTGGCTGCAATTAAGTTGCCATTTGACTAATGGTAAATTCGAAATTAGCAGCAAACTTTGGAATTACGATTGGCTGCAATTATTGTGACCATTTGATCAATCGCAAATTCCGAAGTCTGCCATTGGCGACAGAGCTATTAAATTAGTGCCGAAATATGTATGGCTCACGACTTTTTTGACTTTGTTGATTGTTAACTAATAGTTGAGTACGATATACCTAAGTAAGGAAAATAAAAGTATTTCGAACTAGAAGCCGGTGCTAAAGTAGCATAAAAGCCACACAAACGGCTAATTTGCCAATTTATGTACCTATATTTCTATAAAAGTAATGAAAAACCATGTATTAATAGATAAAATATATTCTTATCCTAAGTGTAATCACAACAGGATCTCGATTCATCAGACAGCGACACCATGTATATTTATTTTTTAACACTTGGGTTTCCCATCTGTGTTGTATTGTTATTGATCGTTCATCTCTGTTCCATTCTCGGAAATTAGAACATACCTAATTAAATATCAAAATTTAATTACTTCCAACGTGCAAGAACAAAAAATATACGAACTGCTGCATCCCAAAAGTTTATTAATGTATTTGCTGTGTGTATTGCTTCTTGCCTTAGCTGGGTTGCTGTATCATCGTTTGAGAGAATCTTGAGACATTGAAAATAGTATAAAGGATTGTGGAAGCCTATTAGTGTTAGATAAATAGTTGCATCCTTGGTACGATGGAGTCAAATACATTGTTATTATGTTTAGTTTCTGCGGTTTTTCTTCGTGAAGCCTCAGGTGATTATTAATTTTTAATACCACATTATACTAGTTTTGTGCTTGAATAATTTTATAGTAGTTTATTTGTGTCAATAGGAAAAGTAAGCAGAGTATGAAAAAAGGTATTTATTAGTTAATAAATCTTCAATGTTAGATAAAAAGCCGAAACCAGATATTATACTCGATAAGTGAAAAAAAATTAATGAAAATTATTAGAGTAATAGAGCTTAACAGTATTAGTTATTTGAACTTATATTATCAAAAAAAAAAATGGTAACACGAAAGTCAGATATGACAAAAATGGAATCTTACAATTATCATGGAAATTGGTGGCTGTCACAGATTAAAACAAAGAAAAATTGTAATGATTATGAAATAAATAATCACTATTACAATAACAACAATACAGTAACCAACTTTCTGATGAAAAATATTCAATTTCTGACCTCTGATAAAAAAACCAATTTTTCTTCCAAAATTTGCTCAAATATATTACAATGAAATCCACAATAGTTTGTCACCTTCGGACAAAACAAAATCAGGACGAAACTTCTCGAACCAGTCAAATTATTAAAGCAAATTACTTCCAGTTCTTCACTTCTATATTTTCAAACTTCTTTAGCACACGTACACCAAACACTTTCACTTAACTCTTACATATACAATAAATATTTTGTTTTTTTTAATTAATATTTACAATGCAATGAAAGACTAACACTATTTTTGAATCATGACAAGTCCCGGTCATTTGATGAACCAACAATTCGCCTTTTGCAACATATTTTGAGAATCAAATATTTCATTTATTTGCTCAATATCCTAGAGATGTAAACGACTTTATTTGCAACACAATTAAAATACCTTTAAAACTAATAACAGAAGAAATCCTTGCCTATGCTCATATTTCTTTTAATCTATCCAATTTATTCATAACACTTTTAGATGTCCTGGGTAATAAAAATTCCACGAACCTTTCCTACTTCGATATGTTTCAACACATTACCCATATATATATATATATATATATATATATATATATATATATATATATATATATATATATATATATATATATATGGGATGGGCCTTCGAAAACCGGCATAAGTTTGGCACATAGGCTACTCGTGAGATTGTACATTCGTAAAGCCCTCACCATTACCTTTTCCCCAGCTTGAAATGTCAATGGTCTTTGTTGTCTATTTCTTTCCTGTCTCTGCAAATATTTCTCACTGCTTTTCTCAACTATCCCAATTGGATTCACATATGGGGAATTAGATATCTCGACAATCTGATCTCTTAATATCTTCTCTATTTCTTGATTTAGCTTCTGCCTATATTCATATAGGATTGGATAAGTTTTTGATCGAAAAGTTTTTAAGTTCTTTACCTTCAAAGTGTGTTCATAATTTTTCGCAACTTTTTTTTCTACATTTATAAGATCTTTATAATCTTTCAATATCACCTTAATTTCTTTTTTCACTCCTTCTCCACATATTATTTTTCTTTCCTCTTCTTCCGATTGCTCACACATTAATTTCACAACACAATTCTTCATCTAAATCCAAATTTCCCTGAATTACTAGTATTTCGGTTATTATCCCTCTTTATTCTTTATGAATTTTCTTTTTCTTCATATTATTTTTTTTAACTCTCCATTCTCCACTGTTTCTTTTGAAACTTCTTCCAAAATGCCCATTTTATTCTTATCCAGGTTTACATTTTCTGATGAATCTCAAGCATCCATTTTTCTTGGTTTGCTTTTCCTATTTTTCCTGTTTTTCTTTCTCTCTTTCTTTTGTTTTTCAGTACTCTTTATCTTGCTTATTTAGTGATTGTCTTCTTTAATCGCCATATTAATTTTCTTTTCATTTTTCTTGTGCAGTGCCGCATCATCTTCTATATAAATTATTTCTTCATCTATCTCTAAAGTCAACTAATACATGATTCTCTGTTAATTCATCCATACCGATTACCACATCTTGACTCATTTCTTCAATTATTACGCATTGCAAACAATAAAATTTCTTTCCAACAATTAATTTAATTCGTATTCCTTCATTAATTGTTGAAAGTTTTTGTTTATTGGCGTCCACCAAAAGTTACTTGAGGAATCTTGTATATTAATTTAGTTAAATTTAATTCTTCTACCAATTGCTTGTAATAATTAACGAAATTTTCGATCCAGAATCTATTACAATGTTTACTGGTTTGTTGTTAATAAAGGCATCTACATACATTAAATTTGATTTTAATTTTACATGTTTCCCAACTAACATGTAGTTTCCCAACTAATTCTATAAATTCTTTCGGGTGACAAAAAATTCCGGATTGTTTTTTTAATTTTATTTAGTAGGCGTCCTGGAGAAAAAACGATTGTTGCGATTAAACGTTAATCGAACACTTTTCCAATTTTCTTTTTCGTTTCTTTCGATATTGACGTTGTTTACTTCTCTTCTCTGTCCTCTTTGTTGTTCGGTTATTGTATCGGTTTTCGCGGTATCCATTGTGTGTAACATGAGCATTCAACTTGCTGTCATTAAAGTTGTCTCGGGCTTACGTCACAGGAACATGCGCGTTGACTCATCTTGTTTTGTTATAGTATCATGCATCTTACTTATGTATTGCACTTAGGTTTATAGAAGACAATTAAAAATAAAACTCTAATATTAAAAAAAAACAAAATTTATTGACATATTAACAAATATAGAAGTATGGAGTATACCGAAGTAAAAATGTACACAAATTACAGTATTATTTCGTAAATGAAAAAAAAATAGATTCCTAACAATTATCTGCTCAGATTTCTGAATTCGAGAAATGACAATATTTTTTTATCCTTTAAATATTAATAATTATAATTGATTTTTAAAAGTCCACAATGAAATACGAGTACTAGCTTTCTTGTTAAATAAAATTATACTTTTATGCAGAGAAACTGACTTTCATTATCAAATCAAAAAAAGTCAATACTGTTATATGAAAATTCTTTTCTACATAACAACAAAAAAAAACCAACTTCCTGATGAAAAATTCAATTTCTGGCCTCTGATGAAAAACCAATTTTTCTTCCAAAATTTGTCCAAATATATTACAATGAAACCCGCAATAGTTTGTCTCCGGACAAAAGAAATCAGGATGAAACTTCTCGAGACAGTCAAAATATTAAACAAATTAGTAACAGTTTATATTCCCTTTTATACTTTCAGACTTCTTTAGCACACTTACACCAAACACTCTCACTCAACTCTTACATATACAATAAACATTTTGGTTTATTTTGTAATTAATATTTTGAATGCATTGAAACACTCACACTATTTTTAAATCATAAGTCGCCGTCATTTGATAAACCAACAATTCGTCTCATGCAACAAATTTTGTGAATCAAATATTTCATTTTATTTGCTCATTATCCTAGAGATGTAAATGGCTTTATTTGCAACACAATTAAAACACCTTCAAAGCTAATAACAGAAGATTATTAATCTATCCAATATAGATAGATATAGATTTTTAATCTATCCAATTTATTCATAATATTTGTAGATGTCCTGGATATTAAAAATTCCATAAACCTTTCCTGTTTTGATATGTTCCAACACATAATTTTGTTCACCCCTTTTTCTGTATGGACTATATATGAGCCTACGAAAACTGGCAATAAGTTTGGCACATACGTTACTCGTGAGATTGGACATTCGTAAAGCTCTCACCATTACCTTTTCCCCAGCCTGAAATGTCAATGGTCTTCATTTTCTATTGCTTTTATGTCTCTTCAAATATTGGTCACTGCTTTTCTTAACTATCACAATTGGATTCACATATGGGGAATCACATCTCTCGATAATCTGATATCGTAACAACTTCTTTATTTATTGATTTACTTTCTGCCAATATTTATATAGGATTGGATAAGTTTTTGATGAAAAAAGTTTTTAAGTTCTTCACCTTCAAAATGTTCATAATTCTAGATTTACTAGACTTCATAATTTTTTAACATTACCCTGATTTCTTTCCCATTGCTTCTCCTCAGATTATTTTTCTTTCCTCTTCTTCCGATTGCTCACACATGTTAACCTCACAACACAATTCTTTATAAAATACAAATTTCTCCCAATCATTAGTATTTCTGTTTTTACCTCTCTTTTTCTTTATGAATTTTCTTTTCCTTCATACTATTTTTTTAACTTTCCATTCTTCACTATTTCTGATGAAACTTCTTCCAACATGCCCATTTTATTCTCATCCAAGTTTGCTTTTTCTGATGAATCCCAAACATACATTTTTCTTGGTTTGCTTTTGCTATTTTTCTTTATCTCTTCCGGTTGTGTTTCAGTACTTTTTATCTTGATTATTTGGTGTTGATCTTGTTTATTCGCTATACTAATTTTCTTTTTATTTTCCTTGTCCAGCGCTGCATCGTCTTTTATATAAATTATTTCCTCATCTATCTTCTCTCTGTTAATTCATCCCAATTCATCTATCTGTATTAAATCAATTTTCAACTGGAAGTGACCATAGAATGATTAGGGCGAAGATAGTCTTAAACATACAGAAGGAAAGAAGACATATGGTAACAAGGACTATTAATGTTACATTCACTGCGATTACTAACACCAGGGTATACCAGGAAGAAATAGAGAGTAATCTACAGAAAGACCTGCAAGATGAAACCAGTATTGAACAGCTTAACGAAAAATTGGTAGAAGCCCTGAAGAAGTCACAGAAGAAGTGCCAAGCCAAGCACTCAACAAAAAATGAAAAACTCACAGAAGACACAAGAAACCTAATGCAAAAAAGAAGGGAAATGAAAGAAAAGCATACAACGAACATTGCAGAGCTAAGGAATTTAAACAAAACCATTTCAAAAGCCATTAGGAAAGACATAAGGAACTTTAACACTAAGGAAATAACTGATACCGTAGAACAAAACAAAAGCCTAAAAGTTTTAAAACGAAAGTTGAAAATAGGAACGAGGAATATTTATAAGTTAAAAAATAATCAAGGACATGTCATAC